GGCCACTCTGCAGAGCAAAAGTTTGTTAATTTACTTTTCTTGACTAGTAAAGACAAGTTATGGGCCCTGGCCCTGACATCCGAAAAATGGTCAGTCATGAGAGAAAGTAGGGTAGATTCCCCCTGACCCATGGTCAAAGAATAAATGGTAGGGGAGAGAGAGAGAGAAGTCACTGAGAACGACCACCAAAAAAATCCTACCGGGAGTGGTGGCGGCCAAGAGGTTGGACTTATGGTGTGCTTTTGGAACTGTTTATGTGCCTGCGTCATTGCACAGAAGTTTTCTTGCTGGGGGTGGGCACCCTAGAGGTTTCTAGCCCGTTAGGTGGCCCCCTTATCCTCTCACGGGAGTCTTCAAGTGGCAGGTGCCCTAATGGCCTTTAAGTGCCTGACCCGTGCCCACACAAAGAATTTTAGGCCACGTCCTCAGTTAGGGATGTTAAAGGAGAGTTTCACCCAATTGGGCTCCAGTTACTGAGGCTCACTTATTGTAAGGCCTTCAGAGTCCGCCAGAGTGTAGCCCTGGCCGGGACTCATCAATTGCCCCCACAACCGTTCACCTGTTCACTGAAACTCCCGAGAATAAAAGGAGTTGAGGGCAGATCAGAGAAGAAGAGGAAAGGAGAGTAAGTCAGAAGAGAGAAGAGAACGATGCACCAGAAGAGAAGGAGACCAGAGACAATGCCGGCACACACACACAAACACGGAGGGGCGTAGACAAACACACAGATAGACAAACATCAGCTGATAACATAGCGCTGGGTTTTCGGGCCCCCTGAGTCCTCTTGCCTCCCGGTACAAGGTTTATCTTACCGAATGGCGTCCACTGTTCACCAGACTCGGGATCAGGAGAGGAACTCCCCTTCCCACAGAGCCGGCAGCCTTCCAGCGCGCTCGCTGGCCTCGGTCTTGTGCCGTCTGGAACTTCCAATCCATTCCCCCTTTATAGAAAGCTTTCTCCTGTGCCAGACATTTTCCTGCTTCTCAGCAGGGCCTCGGATTTACACTGGACTTTCCTGTCCTGCCTGAGCACCGGTGCTATATCTATCCTTCCCCTCTGTCCTGGAAGTGTTCTCCTTCCCCGGTCAAGGGATCCGGGAAGAGCCCCCAAATGTTATGCCTGATGTCCGAATCCCTGAGTGGGAAGAGAGAAGGCTTCTAAGACAATGCAATTTGCAAAAAAGGGAAGTTTATTGCTGACTCGAGTCAGGGCTCCTGCCGCGCATCCAATGCAGTGGTACGGGGTCAGAGAGCGCAGAGCCCAAGGTGTTACCCAATTTATAAGGTGTGCATAAGCAGTTGGTAGCTGGCTTAAGTGGATTGGTTACATGTTTGCAAAGTAATCTTATTGGCCCAAACCTTTGTGGGCTTTTTTCAAACTTGGGCGTTCGCGGGCTTTTCAGCTTTCCCCTGATAGGTTCCCTTTTTCTTGCTAGGCGCATGTTGATTGGCTGGCTCCAGGTGGCCTGATAATCATGTTACCCTGGAAAACCAGGCCTACTCCTAATCTAGGCTGCCTGTCATGGCGCAGCCTCACACACACTCCTAAATAATAGAAGAATTTCAACAGAAATTCAAATACATTTTGAACTAAATGAGACTGAAACCACAGTCTATCAAAATTTGTGGGATGTAATGACAGAAGTGCTTAGAGGAAAATGTATAACATTGAATGTATACATTAGCAGAGAAGAAAGATCTAAAATCAGTAACCGAAGCTTTCACCTTAGGAAACTATACAAATCGGAAGAGATTCAATGCAAATTTAAATGGAAGAAAATACATTTTTAAAATCAGAGCAGAAATGAATGAAATTGAAAACAGGAAAATAATGAAGATATCAATAAAAACAGAACGTGTCTCTTTGTAAAGGCGAATAAGATGAATAGACCTCTAGCCAAGATAACCAAGAAAAAAGAGAAGACATAAATTAGTAGTATCAAAAATGAAAGAGCTGTCATTACTACTGACTTGATGGACATTAAAATGATAATAACATTATATATAACTCTATATCAACAAATTTGGTAGCTTAAAGGACATAGACTGAGTTCTTAAAAGATATAATCTACCAAACTCACACAGGAAAAATAGATAATCTGAACATTTAATGCATTTTCAACATAGAAAGCTCCAGGTCCAGATGGGTTCACTGGTAAATTCTACCAAATATTTAAGAATCTATACAAACTACTATGTGGGAAATACTACAAGGATATATTCTACAACACAGGGAATAGGGGAATACAGCCAGTGTTATAATAACTATCAATAGAACATAAACTTTAAAAACTGTGAACCACTTAACTGCACACCTATAATTTAAATAATATTGAACATCAACCATGCATCGATTTTTTAATAAATTAAATAAAACTTAAGAATCATTCCAATGGGGCAGGGGCTGTATGATAGTACAATGGTCGATCCATGACATTATGCACTTGTCACAAATCTATAGAATGTACAACACAAAGAGTGAACCCCGATGGAAACTACAGACTTCCATTAATAACGTGTCAGCTCTGGGCCATCCACTTTAACAAACGCAGCGCGCCTGTGCCAGGTGTTAACCGGGGCCCCTGAGGAACTGTGCACGGCACCTGTGGGAAATAACTCTACTTTCTGCCCGATTTTCCATAAACTTAAAACCACTCTTAAAAATAGTCTCTTAGTTTTCCCTTTTAAAACTGGAAAGGTGACCAAGTCCTGTCTGAACAGTAACCGGATGACCAAATACAGTATTTATTCCACGGGGCAAGGCCCAACAGGTGACGCCAGTTCTCTGCAGGGTAACCAGGTAGCTTGGGCTCCAACTGGCCCCCTACCAGGTGACAGGCCAAGGGCACCCCTGCCCCCCGAAGGGGCCCCAAGACAGCAGCATCTGCAAGCCTGGCAGCTGCTGGGATTTCAGGTTCAGCTTCCTTCTAGGTAGTGGCTGGGAGGCAGCTGGTACCAAGCCCACAGGAGGTTGTGCAGGGGATGGCATCTGAGGGGAGACCTACCGACCACCCTACTGGCTTCCTCCCAGCAGCTTCTGCTCCCACCCGCCTCAGCGTACACGGCTGCTAAGCCTTCTCTAAAAGGAGGAGAATGACTCACCTTCTCCTGCTCTTGTGCCTCTCACGCTCAGCAATGATGCATCCATCCTTCCATCTTGCAGGGAAAACGGCGCTGAGGCAGGGCAGCGGCACCCCCGACCCCTCACACAGGAGCACAGCAGCGCCTCACACACCCGGCTTTGTCCCCTGAGCTGACAGCGAGGATGCTCTCCGTCTTCCCGCCGCGAGCAGTGACCCCCCTGGCTATCCACCCAGGGCCAGGGCCTCGTCCTCTACAGGACGATCATGTGTGGGAATATGTGATAACTGTCTCTGCTGCAATCCACCCTCTTTCATCAGACACATCCTCGGCTTTAAATTAACCACCCCCTACTTCTCTGAGAGCCTTTCCACTGCTTTTGAGTAAGTTTCTGCTTCTTGTATTTTAAAGCACACTGGGATGACTGGGGGGTGCTACTGGTAAAGAATCTGTCTCCATCAATGCAAGAGACGTAGGAGATAAGGATTCGATCCCTGGGTCAGGAAGAGCCCCTGGAGGAGGAAATAGCAACCCACTCCAGTATTCTTGCCTGGGAAATCCCATGAAAGGAGGAACCTGGTGGGCTATAGTCCATGGGATTACAGAGGCAGACACGACTGAGTATCTGAGCATAGCACAGGGATGACCTTCACTTGACCTTAGCCACTACCCCATGTCCTTTTGGACCCTCATAAGTCTCTTTAAAAGTTATTTAGAGGGTCTAGATTGAGTAATAAATTCATGTTCTGGTCCACTCCCTCTGCTACCAGCCATGATACTTGAAATAGAGAGGAAATCAAAGTGAAATGACTTGTCTCAAACAACAAAACCAAAAAGAATAAACCATAAAGGAAGACATTTATAAGTCTAAGGACATTGAAATTAAAAACATCTGTTCAAAGAAAGACACCAAAACAGACTGAAGGGTAAGGCACAGATTGAAAAACTATTTTGTAATGCACATTCCTGAGAAAAGATTTGGGTACAGAAAACATAAGAAATTCCCAGACGTTAATAAGGAAAAATAGTAGAAATCTCCAGAGAATAATGGGCCAAAAGATGAGGTGACGCAGAAGAGGAAGCCAAACTGCCCATAAATGAAATAAACATATTCACCTCCATTCAGGCTCATGACTTTACATCCCAAGATCCCACTTCTAACAGTCCTCCGACACGGGTACAAAGAGGCAGATGATAGCGAGTTCAGGACAACAGTGTAACAGTAAAAACCTGAAACAGTTTAAATGTCCATCACACATGAGCATCACATATATACACATATTCATACAAGCATGCATTATACACACATGTCACAAACATGTGTTTTCATTATATATATGCATACATATGCACTCACGTTACATGCATATGGACATCACATACATGCATGCATGAATACACACACACATTCTGTTACATGTATGTGCATCTAGTGCACACATATACACACTGCATGCACACATGCACATGTGCACACATATGCATGCATGCATATGCCCAGAAGCCTGTACTCTGTCCCCCTCACATTGCCCCCCTCTCTCAGCTACCAATAACTCCCTTAAAGGCAGTGGATCATGAGCTATATTAAATGACATCCTCCAGTATATTTAATTGACTCAAACACTAAAAGGTAAATTAAAAATCTAAAACAATCAATACTTAACAGTGGAATGACAAGTAAATGCTCTTGTTTTATGTGAGAGCATCCTTCCTCTTTCATCTTCAGTTTAAACTCCATCTGCTCCTAAACCTGGCCAAATTGCATGACAAATCAGGAAATAAAGCAAGTATGTTGGAACCAGAAAAGCCTCCAGCCATTTCTCTGGACAAAGTGCCAGCTTATTAACTTAGCGTTCATTTTATTTCCTGAAGTTTAATTTACTAGACTTAAAAACCTTTAGCGACAGAAAAGAGGAAACTTCAGAGGTGCTTCAGAGGTGCTTGTCGCTTTAAAGCATGCATGTGATATTCTAGGAGATATCTGTGAAGAGAAAATTAGAAAATTAGATTGCAAAATAGAAACATTTAACCCCATCTGAGTCACCTGAGCCTCAACTGAGCCATCCCTGGTGACTCAAATGGTAAAGAATCTGGTGTGTCAGGTATAACTATTGAATATAATAACCTGTGAAGTGCTAGTGAAATAACTAATTTTGGGCCAGCCAAAATAAACATTGCCGTCACAGGCATTATTTTCAGGCGGGGGGTGGGGGTGGGGGTGCGGCAAACCAGCATTTTAAATGCACATAACCAATGACCCTGCAATTATCCTTCTTAAATTCTATTTCACAGAGAAATTCATCCCTTTATAGTCATTGATTTGATGGGTCTCCATAGGTCACAGTTTAATCGACATAAGACATAAGAATATTTATTCCCTATTTGCATTTAGAGGATTTCTGGAAGGGGAAGGTCACACGCAGGGCAGAGGTGTGAATAAATATCAACCAGAGGGCTGAGGAAAGAGGTCCTCTGAGATCTTTTGATCTGCTCCTGCGGTTCCTGCCAGGCCAGTGCAGATTACAAGGTGAGTGATGAGCGAGAAGGGAAGCCAACTCTCAGATCTCGGTGGTTGGATTTGGCTGTCTTACCTCGTGTGGACGCCAGGTGGCAGCACCACCCTCGTGTTTATCTGTCCGGGCCCCAGAGCCGACGCCACAGCTGTGCGGGTGCAAATGAGGAGTTCCGCGCCCTCCTCGTAGGCGTGGGTGCAGCCGGCCAGGGTGAGAGGGGGTCTCCTCATTGCACATAGCTGGCCCATTCGCTCAATACCTGCAAACCCAGGTCACAACGCACTTTCAACTTCAGAGAGGGAGCTGTGGTCTGTTTGATTAGGGGGTTTGCACCAACCCAACGGGCATCCCTGGGCTTCACTGGTGGCTCCATTAGTAAAGAATCCGCCTGCAATGACAGAGACTGGGTTCAATCCCTGAGTTGGGAAGTTCCCCTGGAGGAGGAAATGGCAACCCACTCTAGTATTCCTGCCTGGAGAGTCCCATGGACTGAGGAACCTGGCAGGCTACAGTCCATGGGGTCACAGAGAGTTGGACATGACTGAGCGACTAACATTTTCAGTTCAGTGGGCACCCCAACCTTTCATGGAGTGACGCCAAAGCTGCTCCACTGTGGCTGGCCCAGCTGGGTCCCAGGAACGCACAGCCTGTGTGGTGTCCACAGGCCCCTTGGGACCACCCGGGCTAAGGCCCATAAGGTCTCCTTCCAGCTGTTCTGGGCAGGAGGAACAGAGGACCAGGGGCCACACTTGCAGTGCTGGACCCTCCACTCTTCCTGTTCACCCAGAGGGACAGCCTAAAAAACACACTCATAGATGAAAAGGGAAGGAAAGCAGTGATAAGAGAGAGGGCCGAGCAGGCCAGGAGTCAGGGAGCGGAAACAGAAGAGATGAACAAGCAGCCCAGCGTTATGCTGAAGCGCGGATGCTATGGTTCTGAAATGAGGTGGTGAGGGAACTTTCTCTCTGTGTGTCTCTCTGTCTTTGTCTCTGTCTTTCACACACGCTTCATGTAAAATGTGGGAAAGGAGAGTTGGATAAGATGAGTGCACAGATGTGAGTTGGGAGTGGGGCAGATTGACAGGCAGGAACGGCTAAAAAGAAACCCTGCCAGCCTGTCTCGCCAGCAAATATGTCACTTGAGTCTCTCATCTCGTTAGGGAAGTGGAAGGAACAGAAGGCCCGGCTTCTGCTGGCGGGGGGGATTGTGAACGGGTGGTTCCACTTGATAGAACAGGTGGGGCGGGGGGTTGGGGGTGAAGAGATGCTGCAGGAGTCCACAGCCCGCAGCCGGCAGACATGCGGCAGACAGGCCAGGGTGCCCCGAGCAGGGCGACCTGAAGGTGGCCACGGTGAAGCATCTAAAAAGGCCAGGACCTCTGTCATGGGACCCAGGACTGAGGTTGAAGCTGCAGTTGAAACTGGGCTTCCCTGGTGGTCCAGTGGTTAAGAATCCAGCCTGCATTGCAGGGGACACCAGTTCCATCCCCATCCAGGAATATCCTACGTGCCTCAGGCAAATAAGCCCATGTGCCACAGTTACTGAAGCTCATGTGCTCTAGAGCATGAGATTCACAAGAGAAGCACTGCAATGAGAAAACGCACACCACAGCTAGAGTGCAGCCCCCGTTCATGGCAACCAGAGAGAAGCCCAAGCAGCAAGCAGGACCAGCACAGACAAATAAATAAGCAAAGTTTGTTAAAAGTTGCAGAACAGAGAACATTTGGGGGAAGAAAAAAAAAAAGGATGCAAAACAAAATAGAAAAGACCCAGCAGCTTTGTTGACATAAATCAGTGCAGAGATCTAAAGAGCCCTGGTGATGACAGCAACCTCCAGGCCACTCACCAAGGAAATTAGACAAAGATCCAAAACGTTCCCTCCCTGGAGTGAAGTGTTGACAGAAGCCGGAAAGCATGAGTTCAGCAGCCAACGTGGGAGGGGTGAGCGTTGGCCTTGAAAATCTCGGTTCTGTTCCATTCTTTCCTCCCTCCCCCATCGTGGCCCTGGAGCAGGGCAGTGAGTTTCTGCCAGCCTTGCTCCTCAGGTTTAAGTGACAACACCCAGCGGGTCAGAATCCACAAGGTGAACAGCAGAGAGAAGGGGCGGGAAGTCCCTGAGGTGATGGGAGAGCTGAAAGGACAACATCAGCCTCAGATGAGCAGCGGCAGAGGGGTGGGGGGGGAAAGCTGGTTATTTGGGGGAATCAGGAACTAGGATTACAAGTATTTATGTTTAAATATAACCTGTATGCTCAGCAAAGTAAGGATGAGATAATGCCATTTACAGCAACATGGATGGTCCTAAAGATCATCATACTGAGTGAAGTAAGTTAGACAGAGAAAGATAAATCTGTGATATTGCTTATAAGCAGAACCTTTGAAAAGATGATACAAATGAGCTTATTTATAAAATAGAAACAGATTCACAGACTTAAAGGATGAAATTATGGTTGCTGGGGGGAAGGGAGGGAAAGATGGGGGAAGGGACAGTTAGGGAGTTTGGGATGGACATGTACACACTGCTATATTTTAAATGGATAACCGACAAGGACCTACTGTATAGCACAGGGAGCTCTGCTCAGTGTTAGGTAACAACCTAAATGGGCAAAGAACTTTAAAAAGAATAGACACATGTATATGTGTAAATATACGTATTTACTGGATATGGATACTGGATAAGAATACTGGAGTGGGTTGCCATTCCCTTCTCCAGGGGATCTTCCTGATCCAGGGATTGAACCTGGGTCTCCTACATTGCAGGCAGAGTCTTTACCATCTGAGCCACCAGGGAAACTCCACACATATGTGTAAATATATATGTACACATGTATATATATATATGATATATATTAAATAAAAAATAAGCATATACATACCATACTGGTATATATAAAATATGTATATTATCTATATATGTATAAAACTTATATGGGAGAAATTAAACTTGATATTACAGGTACCATATTTTTAAGGAAAAAAAATGAATAGATGACTGGACAAAAGAAATTTTCTGACTTGTGAATTCTTATGTGAAAATCTATAAACAGGTCTGAAAATGAAGCCCACTTGAAGGAGTCCATAGCATGTGTGCTCAAGAGCAGGCCCCTCAATGGACTCCTGGGTGTGCTCCCAGCAGCCCAGGGGGACAGTGGGGAGCAGGTGTCAGCTTCCTTCCTCCTGAGGGGCCAGGGATCCAACATTGCAGCATCAGTTCTCATCAGCACGGCCGAAGGCTGCTCCTGCTGCTGTCGTCGCCTGGGTGCTTCTAGAACGTTCTGAGCAAGCCGGGCCTGGCAGAGAAACCTCTCAGTGGAGAACCCCAGGTGCTTGCAATAGAAGCTGACAAAACAGCTGGGGAGGACCACACCTGAGGGGCCTCTGGCACCATCAGCATCCTCCGTGCATGCAGGTGGGAGGCAGCCGGCAGACCGCGATACAGCCTGTTGACATGGCCCCTGGGGCCAATGCTCCAGGAGACACAGACCACTGCCCGGCCTCTCCTGGCTCCTGGGGAGCAGCTGTTCAGTCCCAGGAACAGCCAGTCAGGTCTGTTCACACAGTCCCTCTCTGCTCATGGGCAGCAGACATCCTCCAGGGCAGTTCTGAGTCCGGGTCACCAAGTTCACCAGGCCCCGAGGTGAAGACAGGAAAGTTTTCTCTGGGAGCCACCCCGGCCAGCTGTGCCCGTCAGCAAGGGCTTTGACCCTGGGCACTGGTCAGGAGGTGACCCCTGGGACATGAGGGGGTGCCTTTTTTATTTTGCTGGCTGCCTGGGAGTTTTCATACATCCAAGCTGACAGGAAACCCTGGACATGACGTGCAGAATGGAAAAAAAAAGACCATTGACAACTTAGGTTGTGGTTTCTGCAGACATTTCACTTCCCTGATTTAGTCTGATTTCAGATCTGCCCCAACGTTCGTGTCCCCGTCGAGCTGACAATATTTAAACGTCTAAATTGGCCAACAGCATGTGTAACTGGATGAATTTTTGTTATGTGGTCCAATCTGAGTTGGTTTCTCACCCACCTTTGAAGGTACAAGACTCATTTCTCTGATTGTTTGCCTTCTGAAGTTCGATCATAGAGCATCTCTAAACACAGTTAATGACATAATCAGCTTGAGATTAAAAATATCCATCTTATTTCTTCTGGTTTCACAGGCCCTGCTGCTTCGAAAACCCATCGCTTGACTGTGTTTATTGTTGTATCATTTATAATATGTCCATAAATCCAGAGCCAATTATTACAGTCTCTCATTTGCTGCCAATAAAAAGTCCTCCACCATTTCAGCTTCTCCACTGATGGATCCTTTCCATAAGAAAATTAGAAAGCTTCCAACAATGCGTCTGATGTACAACTGATGATTTTTTCTCCTTTCCAAATGACACAGGGGCTTCCCAGAAGGCGCTAGTGGTAAAGAACCTGCCTGCCGATGCAGGAGTTTGAGCAACTAAAAGCAAACAACATGGACCCAGGGAAAGAGGGTTGAGGATGATGCCTGTGCCCACCTGTGGGGTGGGGAGGAGCAGGGCTGGGGAGTAGCCAGAATGTACCAGTCAGGGTGAAAACCTGTGCCCATCACCCAGCCCTCCCTCCGGAAGGGATCGATCTGAGTGCCACAGCTTGGCCGCTATCTCTCCCCGATTCCCTGAACACAAACCCCTGGCTTCTCAGAGTCGATTTGTCCCTAAACATCTGCACATACAGCTGCCGAGGAGGAGGCTTTGTGGCCTCTGAAATGATGGTTTTTTCCTCCTACCGTCCATTTCTTACAACAACGTTGGGGAGGTTTAACCATGATTCATCTTGGTTTCTTATAGTATTGCCGTCATTGTTGTTATCTTAGCAGAGAGTCTCCACGCGTTTTGGCAGGAACAGGGAGCCAGTCTCCCCTGCTTCTGTGATTTGCAGAGACGGAGGGGCCGATGCTTTTCCCACTCTGCGTCCCTCCCCCCACTTCAGGCTGCCCTTCCTCCTTTGTCACCGTGACCCCTCCTCCCTCTAAAGAGAGTCTGCTGGCAGTTTTCCCTGGGGGGATCTCTGTTTGAAAGAAAGTTTCCTTTCTGGGTTTGGGGCCTTCCTGTGCCTGACCCCAACCCCTCAGCACCTCACACAGCCCTGCAGACACCCCAGGGCCCCCTCCAGCTCAGCCTGCCCCACCAGAGCCCGCCCTACCCCCGGGGTTGTCCTGCCTTCTCTCTGCTCCCTCCGGAGGAGGATCAAGGCCCCCCCCCACCCCCCGCCCCGGTTCTGAGCACAGACACCGGGGTGCATAGGGATCCCTCAGCACCTGGCTCACCTGGAGATGCCGGATGCAGGTCTCTGCCTGCCCCACCACCCGGAGCTCCGTCTAGAGCAGAATCTGCAGAAGAGAGGGGACATTCTGAGAGAATCTGGCAAGATCAGCACTGACATGAGCTCGCTCTTTGCAGCTAAGATGTTTTTATTGTCAAATATCTATGACCCGCCCCTCATATCCATCTATGAGCTTGTTGAGGAAAGCTATCCTATGTATCCATCTTCCTACCTCCAGGGCCTGCGATGGTGCCCATCATGGAAGAGACACAATCAATTGTGGTTGCATTGAATTAACTCATGTTTCTTGCTGGGAACTGTGGTTCCTACCAGGGCTAGACAACCGCTGGGAAGTAAGGGATGTGTGCAGTCCATACAGTTTTGAAGACCCAAACACATTTTCTTTTCTTGAAGGGACAGCGGGAGAATAAATAAAGCAAGGAGACCTGAGGTCAAAGTGCTAGAATCTGAGCCCCTCACTGATAAACTTCACGGATGGACACTCCCCTAGAGCCCGTGCTCCACATGAGAAGCCACTTCAGCGAGAAGCCGGAGCACCACAACTAAAGACTAGCCCCCGCTCGCCACAACCAGAAAAAAGCCCACACAGAAACAGGCACCCAGGGCAGCCAAAATAAATAAATAATAAAATTATTTTTTTACAGGTTAATGTAAAAACAGTAGCAGTTGTAATCACGCGTTTTGCTGATTTGCTGCCTTCTAAGATACAGTCCTCGTTCAGGCAATTTTCAGAGAAATGTTGCAAAGGAAATAACTTTTATTTTCCTCTATAAATGTCAATAACACCTCCATATGTCCTGCTGACTACAAAATTGGGGTCTTATTAGCAGAAGAGTGCAGGAAAGACTGGTGGGCAAAGGACAGTATTTGCCATCTTTGTCATCAGAAAAAAAAAAAAGTGGGTGCAGTTTCCTCAAGGAGCAGCAGAGGGCAGCAGTGGGCCGACATCGCACCACAGTAGGACCCTAAACAAACCTTGAGTATCTGCCTCGGACTTTGCTATTTGAGCATCACTGAATGGGCTGCCTAAGCAGACAGCAGTGACACATGTGTGATGTACCCGATAACAACACTTCCAGAATTTAAATGTCTTGACGCCAAAATGATAAAAACCTCTTAGTAGAGTGTAGAGTATAATAACATAAAGTGTAAGGTATGCAAGAAATCAATGAGTCAAACTGTATTTAATATAAATGTTACATGATTCCAAATGAAACTGTTCATGAACTGTGTTTATCACTTTCTGAAGACTAGACATATCCGTGGGGACTTAGAAAACAAAATCTTGGTTGCCAAAAAGGAACATGTTAGTCACTCAGTGGTGTCTGACTCTTTTGTGACCCCCATGGACTGTAGCCCGTCAGGCTCCTCTGTCCATGGAATTCTCCAGGCAAGAACACTGGAGTGGGTTGCCATTCCCTTCTCCAGGGGATCATCCAGATCCAGGGATCAAACCTATGTCTCCTGCCTTTCAGGGAGATTCTTTACCCTCTGAGCCACTGCTCATTTTATGACGGATAAGAGGTGGCCAAAATGACCCCACGGGATTTCAGAGATTAGGTCATGAAAAGCAATAGGGCTTCCTCTTGCCTGCCCACCCCCCTCACCCTGAGAGCCTTAGGCCACAGGGAGAGGGCCTGAGCTCTGGCAGCCCCAGCTGGGGTCTCAGCCCCCACACTGCC